AAAGAAATAATATATATTTCAAAATCTCGCACGAATCTCTGCAATATACTACCATAAATATATATTTTTTTTCTTAATTTGTCGAAGCTATGCTGTATAATCTAATTTCTCTCTCTATTTTTTAAGATTTATTTGTCATTTCGATTTACTTTTGAATGACGAATAATATAGAGAAAAGGAAATCTGGGTTAGTTTTGTGGTATTCATTAAATTAGAAAAACAAAAAGGAAAGAAATATTTCTCTCATGCATTTGGTCTTTTTGTGATTTAAACATATGACTTTAATTTGACCAATATAGTCTGTAGGAAGGGAATAAGTGTCTCTCTCTTAACTTTTGAAGCTTAAAAAGTATATATAAAATACCCCATATTTTGACTCTCCAAGAATGGAAAAAAATTTAAGATTCGGTAGTTTTCCTTTAATTTACCCGTATATCTTTTTTGAAATAAAAGTCTATATATATATATATATAATTGTACGGTGCAAAATTCTACCATTCCATAGAAAACTTATGGTTTTGTTGTTACAAATAGTTTTAAAATTTTTAATTTACTTCTTATGGTTTGAGTTTGGTATGTATGATTTTAATAGTTTTAAATTGGTAGGTATAATTTAATCAAATTTCACTGTTATCCCTTGTCATTAATTACTACATTAAATATATGATATTTTTTTTAATCTACGAGGCATGAAATAATGTCTTTTCTATTTGGTCGACTATATCAGTTGATTGTATTAAAGTTTAGATTTGAGTAAAAAAGTTTTAAAAAAACTAGTGGTTTTTCGAGTGGGTAAAATATAGTTTCAAAACGATTTATGAAGTTTAACTCAAATAATAAATACTAAATTGGAACTGAAAAAAACCATTAAAATTAAGGTATGTCATTAAAAAAAAATTAAGGTCAAACTATAGGGACAAAATGGAGCATTATCCTTATACCTTTGATTTTAAAGTGATATGAAATCTTATCAATCTTATCAATAGAGAAGATAGATTTGATAATGAAACCAGCTGATGATAATATATGCTGCAATGGAGAGATATAAAGAATCTTCCTTATAACGTGAACGAAGTTGTCAATACTTTAAATTAGAAATTCGTGCAAAGAGATATCAGCATTGAGACTGGATTGAAGAATACCCAATACGACTGAAAGAGTTATTCGCTCAACCTCCAATTCGGGAGGATGTTTTTTCATAAACTTCTTTGTATTGAAAAAAAAATAAAAAATTATTTTTTTAAAGATTAAATAATTAAATTAAAGGAAGGTATTTTTTTTTATTAGAAAATCATAGATAAGATCTTTTAATTAAATCCATGGAGATAACATTCGAATAATATAGCATTTACGTGGCGCCCAAAATTGCAAAATTTCCCAAAAAGAGAATAAAAAATAAATTGTGGTCCGCATCATAATTGGAAATAATTAAGTTTCTTATTAGATAATTAGTGGAAGGAGAATTAAGAAGAAGGGTCCCACAGGTTCTATAGACCAATCACGTCTCAACAAATCAGTAAGAGAATTCTGATTAAAGTTGAAATATGACCAACAAGGGAGGTTAACAACGCTATTATATATTCGTGATTAAATCAATTAATGTCATGACCATCTTGTCTTTCGCTCATATTTCTTTTACTTTTTGTTGCCTTAATTTGACCAAGTTAGTGGATCCCTATCGTCTACCTAAATTTATTTACACTAAATATATAATTCCATTCATATTTTATATATTATTTTATAAAAACACGTGTCTCTCTTATTTTAATTTTTATATATAATGTATTAATTTTTTTGATACTGTCAATTATCGTCCGAGTTAATTGATAATTCGTTGTTAATTATGATAAAACAAAAAACAATGATAAGTATACGTAAAGGTAAACTCAAAATTAATTAAAAAAACATTATACACGACCAATGGTTATTCATAATTATTTAAAGAAGATTGTATATTTCAATAATTATATATTCCAAAAAATATAATCATTTTTTTTGCTATGGGTCTTTATTATTTTTAATTTTTATTTAAATATAGAATAGAGAGTACTACATTTTTTTTATAGATAAAATAGAGAGTAATACTTAATAAAACAATAAAATCTCATATCTTCAACCCACCCATGCACGAATAAATATATAATTGTCAGTAAATTCAATAACTTTGATGCATGTTCAATTATAATTTTGTTTTGACATTTATTATAATATTTTGCATGATTTTATATTACGTGAACATTTTATATACTAAAGACAATATCGAGATTCATAGTAAACTTAAAAGAAAAATGTTATAAAATTCAGGTCTTGAATGAAAAAAAAAAATAACAAAAACAAAAACTTTATGCTCCTTTTACGTAAATGTTGGTTAAGTGTCACATTCTTTTTTTCTTTTAGTTCTTGATTTTTTTGTTAACAATAAAGAAAAATAGGATAAGAAAAATGATAATACACCGACGGAACTTAGTATTTCAAAATATTAGAGATGAAACTAAAAATGATATACACGAATTGGAACATTGAAGTTAGCACAATAATTTGCCTTTTCCTTTCCCTGTCATAATAATAATAATAATTTCATTTAACAAATATTTCACCCAGAATTACAATGAATATTTGTTAACATAATAATAATAATAACTTTTTTTTCAAATAAAGAAATAAAAAGTAACAATAAATCCAAATATAAGAAATCCAAATATAAATTAAGTGAAATATAAGTGAATTTTTTTAAATATATTATTGTTCATATTCTCTCTATTTATTTCTAATATAATATTCTAAAAAACCAAATAAACGAAAATGTATAAGTAGAGATGCGAGGGCACGAAATACTATTAACGTTGTGTTTGACTAGTGATCTAAAAACAAGGTATTCAATAAAAAAAAATAGATTTATATTATAGCTTTCCAACGTTTTTGAATATGTGTTTAGTAGCAGATTTAGAATTTGAATCTCAATTTAATATATTATTTATATTTAGTAATATATTTGTAAAACAAGGATAGTTACTAACAAAATATTTAGTTCAATCTGAAATATTATTAGTTAATTTATTAATATATGTGTTATAAAGTTTGTATAATAATTTCAATATAATATAGTTTATATTTACATTTTAATTTTAACAAAATTGAGTTGAGTTTATAGCATGAAATAATATGCTTATAAAGTTTTTATTTTTTTTAATGTAATTATACATTTTAAAATTTTAAATTTAATCGGTCAAAAATAAATAATCACTAGATTTAGATGACATACCAAACAAACACTAAATTAGCTTATGTTAGTAATAAATTTTATTAAAAAAAATTGTTTACATATAAAGGAAAAATATTTTATTTCTTGAAGTAAGTTTGGAAATTTTACAAAGGAATACCCAAAAGGATTGATGCATGCCATTCTTGGAAGAGCGATTGATATTGCTATAAATAAAGTGAAGTAAATTTCAAGAAAAATAAAATAACCAATACGAGACATTTTTTATACAAAAAAAAATGAAAATTTATTCATCAATATAACATTTATAGCAGTTCTATTTATAGCAGTTCTATTTAAAATTTACAAGAATACAAAATAATGATTTAATTGGAAAACTATTTGCATAAAAAAAATTGAAAAACTATTTTAAAACAAGGGGTTTAAAGTAGCTATATATGTTGAAACAAATTTATTGGGAAAAATTGTTGCCTTATAAAGGAATTGAAAAAACCAGCATGTCATCTTGATTTTTTTCTATAGCCTCAGCTTATGAGTAAAAATTTACACTATATATATAGAGTTTTTAAAATTTAAATTTTTAAGGGTAAATTGTAAAGAAACTTAAAATTTTAATTGCATCATTCTATCATTCAGTTTGCACCTATTTGTAAAGTTAAATTTTCATAGTGCAAATTAAAGTTCATTGTGCATAAATCTTTGATTTGATCGAGACAAATGGTAAAAGTAGATTATAGGTGAGTTGAGACAAAAGAGAAGAAAAAAAAATAAGACGAAATTTAAATCACTTTCGCACTTTTTACTATAAAAAATTGACAATGGAAATAAACAAATGGAAGATGCGAGAATATATTTTTGTGTATTATGTTGGTGGACAAAGACGCCACTATACAAAGACGGTACAAAGCTAATTTAGCTAATTACACAATTAAAGAAAAGAATCATATACAATAATAAACAAATAATCTAGATCCACAGTTAACTCCAATTTAAATTAATGATAATTGTGGCCGTTGTTTTTCTTTCTTTTAACAGGAAACCTAGCAACACTCTTGTGATTCTCACATTAAATTATTAAAAAAAAACACAAAATATTTTATTTTAGCGAAAATACAAAGCGTGGACATATTTAAAATATAATATTCCATTATTTTGTATTTCAAATATTTAAATATATTAGGTAGTTATTACTTCAAAGTTGAAAAAGTTAAATTACAAACTTAGTCTATAACTTTTTAGGATTGTGTTTAATAAATCCACAAATAAACCTAAAATATATTTAATAGGTTAACTTTGAGTCTCATTCCAATAAATACCCTAACTTATTTTAAAAAATTTACGGACATATAAACACAAAATTGAAAAACTAAAATTCTATTATACATACAAAATTCAGTTTTGTATCTAACATGTACTCAGACCGATTTGATTTAAAAAAAATCGAAATTTGTGTCGAAACAGATTTGTAAATTTTAAAAATATCAAATAAGTTACGAATCAACCGATACAAAATTGAATGTGTTAGGTATTATTACTTGAAAGGTAAAAAATTTTATTAGATATAGGTAGAATTGTCAAAGCGAGCATAACATATATCTCGAATCAGAGATTAAAAAAAAAGAAAAGTTAAAAAAACAACCAAAATTGAAATTTAAAAGATAAAATAAACACGAGGCAAACGCGTTGTAGTTGTAGGGGTATTTGTGGAAGCGGAAGAATCGGGTGCACAGCCGGAGGATCCAAAAGAAGCTGGTTTGACCGAAGCCCAGAATTTAAGCTAAAATAGTCAAATACACCCAAAAAAAATAAAAAATGGAAAAAATCTGTGCAAAATTGGAAGCAGTAGCCAGAAGAGAACCAAATTCCCAAGAAGAAGCGCTATAAAATAGAGCCAAGGATTCGGTTCTCGACACCAACACAACGGAGAAAACCGAAAATGGCGAACGCCGTAGAGAAGATGACGAACAAAACGTAATTCAATTCAAATTTCGAACCAGCGGGAGCAGAGACACACACACAGAGATTTCTTTCTCTCGTTTTCGTTTTCTTTGTGTGAACAATGGACGGCGTGAGAAGCTCCGGTGGTTTCATGGTTCCTTCTGTGTGTGGTCAGCAAGAGCTGGAGCAGCTGTCCAGAGATGGCAGTCAGTACAGCCTCACCACTGGAATATTGCCCTCCCTCGGCGCTAGGAGTAATCGGAGAGTCAAACTCCGCCGCTTCATCGTTTCGCCCTACGACCGCCGATACAGGTCACTTTTTGTTCTTCATTTGGAATTTCGAATGCCCTTTTTACCGCTTGCTTTTTTGCTTTTTCTTTTTTTCAATTGGGTTTGATCTTGTGAAACTAATACTGTTGCCTTTTCATTTGTTTGCATCAAATAATAATCTGAATCTTTTTGTTTCGTTTGTTTCAGAAGTTAATGGATTCCCCTGCTTGTAATTTTGTAAATAATAATGCACCGACTCTGCGCCTTTTTGTTTGTTTGTTTGTTTTACTTTATTGTTCTTGTTCATGCGCTTCTTCTTATTTTAGGTTATTCTAAAGCGTCAGATGATTCTCATATTGCCTTAAAGCTTTGCTAAAAGGAGAATTTTGTATTTTAGTTTTACGTTTCTGCAAACATGGCTATTCTTTTTTCTTGTTAAACACTTCCAGAAACACTTTCTTACTAAAAGTAACTAGACAGAAACATTTATTTGTTTTTGGCGTGGATTCAAGTGGGCTGGATGTTTTTGCAGAGAAAGAACTCAAGTGATTCTGATTAAGCGAATCTTTATTTTTTTATTTTTTTATTTTTGTTTTGCATAGGATGATGAATACCTTTTTCATTTTTTCTGCCAAAGTGGCTGAGGTTGTGTTATCTACAGGGTTTGGGAGACTTTTCTGGTTGTTTTGGTGGTATATACTGCCTGGGTCTCGCCGTTCGAATTTGGATTCCTCAAGAAACCCGAATCGCCACTCTCTGTTACAGACAATGTGGTTAATGGATTTTTTGCTGTGGATATTGTTCTCACATTCTTTGTAGCTTACCTTGACAAAACCTCCTATTTACTTGTTGATGAGCCAAAGAAGATTGCTATAAAGTATGCACGTTCGTGGCTAATCTTAGATGTCATCTCCACAATTCCTTCTGAACTTGCACATAAGATTTCCCCTCCTCCTCTCCGTTCCTATGGATTATTCAACATGCTTCGTCTATGGCGTCTCAGAAGAGTCAGTGCTCTTTTTTCCAGGTACAAGGACTTTTACCTTGCCTGTGTTTGCTGAATCAAAAATGTGTTCAACCTTAAGTTAGTGTTCTTTCTTCTGAACAGACTTGAAAAGGACAAGAACTATAACTACTTCTGGGTTCGATGTGCAAAACTCGTTTGTGTAAGTTTACATATTCAAATAAGATTGCGTTTTTAATTAGCTTATTTTATTTTTGAGATGTTCTCTTATTTGTGTAATCAATGTCTTTTGTAGGTTACTCTATTTGCTGTTCACTGTGCCGCATGCTTCTATTATCTCCTTGCTGCTCGTTATCGTGATCCAAAAAGGACGTGGATTGGAGCATCCATGGGGAACTTTCTTGAGCAAAGTCTGTGGATTAGATATGTCACCTCCATTTATTGGTCAATCACTACCCTAACCACTGTCGGCTATGGTGACCTGCATCCTGTGAATACGAGGGAAATGATTTTTGACATCTTCTACATGCTTTTCAATCTTGGTTTGACAGCATACTTGATTGGAAATATGACCAACTTAGTTGTCCATGGGACCAGTAGAACTAGAAAATTTGTAAGTAAATAATTCTTGCACAGTGCACAAATGATACTTAATAATTCAAAGATCTAGATTATTTGTTAGTTTTGCTTAATCTCTTACTAATTTAGAGTATCACATACTGATCTTCTCTCTTTTCAATTCTATGGTACTTTTATTCCTCAGAGAGATACCATACAAGCGGCCTCTAGTTTCGCCAATAGGAATCAACTTCCTCTTCGTTTGCAAGACCAAATGCTGGCACATTTGTGTCTAAAGTTCAGAACAGATTCTGAGGGATTGCAGCAGCAAGAAACTCTTGATTCCTTGCCTAAAGCCATCCGATCAAGCATTTCACATTATCTTTTCTACTCTCTAGTAGACAAGGTCTATTTGTTTCGTGGTGTTTCAAATGACCTACTTTTTCAACTGGTTAGTAACATAAGTTCTCAAGTTTTAAACCTAGATGACGGTTCCTTCTGTTATAAGCTTTTTATTTTTGCTTTCGTGTCTAGTATGTGCTTACTTTGATACTGATTGATTTGCCAAAATGTTAAAGGTTTCAGAAATGAAGGCCGAGTATTTTCCTCCAAAAGAAGATGTGATTTTACAAAATGAAGCCCCAACAGACTTCTACATTCTTGTCACGGGTGCTGTGGTAATGATTAATTTATTTGATTTTGGAATGCTTTAAGTTACTGACTGAAGTATTCACGAAATAACCAACAAGCTCGGTTCATCTCGAGTCTCTAATGTTTAAAATTTTTTCACAGGATTTGCTGGTTCTGAAAAATGGAGTTGAACAGGCAAGTCTGCATATAGAAGCTCTTGGAAATTGAAAATTTTGGGTTTCTGGTTATTTACATTGCAATTCAAGGCAATATAGTTGCTGACTAAACTATTTCCGATATTTGCAGCATGTAGGAGAGGCTAAAACTGGCGATCTTTGTGGTGAGATTGGGGTATTATGTTACAGACCACAACTATTTACTGTGCGTACTAAGCGATTGAGTCAGTTGCTGCGTCTGAATCGTACTGCATTCCTTAGTCTCGTTCAATCTAATGTTGGCGATGGGACTATTATCATGAACAACCTTCTTCAGGTCTGCTTCCTTTTACACTTATGTTATCTGGGTTCTAGAGTTCCTTACAGATGATGTCTTTAGACTTGATTACTAATATGTATATTTTCATCGGTAACATTTCCTCAAACAATTTAAAACAAAAACCGAACTGCAATGGTCTCAGTAAAAGATAAAAAAAGATGGTACTATTTGTCCATATTTGAGTATTTTACAAGGTGATGTTTAACATATAACTTAGCTTCAATGACATCTTATTTTCTTGGTTGGCAGCATTTGAAAGACCTCAAAGACAAAGACCCCATCATGGAAGGAGTTTTGTTGGAGACAGAGAACATGCTAGCTAGAGGCAGAATGGACCTACCACTCAGTCTTTGTTTTGCAGCACTTAGAGGAGATGACTTGCTTTTACACCAGCTCTTGAAACGAGGTCTTGATCCAAATGAATCCGACAACAATGGGAGGACTTCACTTGTAAGCTGAATTCTCTGTTACTCATTACTTCCTATCAACGAATCACTGTCCAAAAGATTCTGTTTTCTGCATTTTTTGTTGACTTTTTTCATGCTGTCTTGTTTTCCCCGTTCATGTAATACCAGCATATAGCAGCCTCAAAAGGAAACGAGAACTGTGTGCTTCTACTACTCGATTACGGAGCAGATCCCAATAGTAGAGGTACTTTTCAACCACGTTTACTGCATTCATCCGTTTACTTTTCTCGTCTTTAGAATTTTACCTTGTTTTTACTGATATTAGCCTCGTGGTTCTCCACAAGCAGCTGAGAATCAATTAATGAATTATAGGACTACTCTAGGGATAATTTTTCTTTATAACTATTTGCCTGCTATATATTTCATGCTTGTTAATCAATGTAGCAAGTCAAAATACATAATTTGGCACCGCGTTGACTTCCCTCATACATGCACAAGTATTTGCTGACACACACATTATGGGCATTTATTTTCCCCTCGCTAACTTATTTCAAGTCAACTATCTTCTGTAACTTGTTTACTATTTTTTAAAATGTGATTTAACAGTGATTGCACATTCAAATATTCAATGTACACTATTTCCCAAGGAATTCTGTGGTCTATCTATAATAGGACCAAGTTGACCTTCTAATGCTCTTATCTAAAACAGTCTTTTTTCTTAATAGTAATCTGCTTTAGACACATTTGGAACACATAAAAAATCTAGTCCAACTGTCTCATTTTCCAGTATAGGTGTTCCCAATAATAGTGTCCTTGCTGGCACCCAATTTGTTAACATAGCTTGATAAACAGATCATATAAAATCATTGCAAACAAAATAACCTATCATGTGGTTCATGTCTGTTGACTTTAGTATTCCCAAATCAAGATATGAGATGAATTATTTTGTTTTAATTTGTACATCTCCTGGGGATCTCTCTCTCTCTCTAGGATTGATTCTATTTTTAAGAATGTATGTATTACAATAATAATTTTAAGAATGTAGACAGAAACTGACAACCATGTGGAATCATTGAAAGAATCGTTTTTCAGACTGAATTTAGAGGATGGAATTTGAGACGGGGGTCTATCTTTAGAGAATGCAATTGTATTATGAACCCATGGAAAGATGATTTGTTTCCCATGCTTTCTCTTTCTACAGATTCGGACGGGAATGTGCCATTATGGGAGGCGATACTAGGTGGCCATGAGCCGGTGGCTCAGCTACTTATAGACAATGGCGCTAATCTGCGGTCGGGTGAGGTGGGTCAATTTGCGTGTACTGCTGCAGAGCAAAACAACCTCCAGTTGCTCAAAGATATTCTCCGATACGGAGGCGACATTACAAGTGCCAAGAACAATGGAACGACAGCTTTACACGTTTCAGTTTGTGAAGACAACGTTGAGATTGCCAAGTTCCTCCTTGAACAAGGAGCTGATATTGACAAACCAGACGTCCATGGATGGACTCCAAGAGATCTAGCAGACCAACAGGGACATGAAGAAATCAAAAACCTGTTCCAGACAACAAAAGAGTCAAGAACTCATTTAGTGGTCGCCATTCCCGAGAAGCAGGGTGGGAGTCGCTTCCTCGGAAGGTTTAAAAGCGAGCCCATGATCCGCCCTGTACCCCAGGAAGGCAACGATGGTGCATGGCCCGGTCAATCTCGTCCACGGCGTAGGACTAACAACTTCAATAACTCATTGTTTGGTATCATGTCAGCAGCACACTCAGGCGAGAGAGACATCCTTTTCTCTGATAACCAAACCAGAGGAGAAATGTCTGGAACCAATCCTGCTAGGGTTATAATCAGCTGTCCAGAGATCGGTGAAGTCGCTGGGAAGTTGGTGCGTCTTCCAGGAAGCTACGACGAGCTTCTTGAGATGGGTGCCAAGAAATATGGGATTATGGTTTCAAAGGTTTTGAACAAAGATGGAGCTGCAATTGAAGATATAGAGGTCATTAGGGATGGTGATCATATTGTTTTTGTCAGCGATGAAAGAACCACACAGCCATAAAATGCCTCCAAAATGGAGGTTTAAGGCAGCACACATTTCTTCGTTTTTGTTTCCTTTTGTGTTCTTGCATGTTTTCTGTTTCGTTTCGAATCAGTAGAAGTAGAACCAATTGTAAACGAAAGAGAAGCATTACCAGATACATAAAGGAGATTTGTGAAGTGCAAATCATGTATATAAAATGCAGCAATTTTTTTGCAATTTGGAAACAGTAATCCATGGTGGTAGAAGCGATTTGAAAGGGACAGCCTTGGTTTCACACAATTTTATTTAAAACCCCACCATTTTTTCAAGTAAATCCAGAATCAAAGACGGATTAGAGGTAATTTTCTTGAAGATGTATTTAAGATTATTTTTTGAACAATGACTTGAAAGGAATAAAAATTCAAAAAAGGAGATAAATAGCATATTGCTCCCCAACTAAAGAGTGTTACAAAAATAATCTGCTAATAAGTCACTGAACAAACTCTTCTTTAACATCTTTCTATCTATGTGATTAATGTCCCATTTGGTATCAACTTTAGATTTGACGAAAGCATCTCTTTTTTCCAATGGTTAACCAATGCTTATAAACCCATTTAGAATGCGAGAAGGGGCAGCAACAAATTAGTTAAAATCTATTTTCCACATTGCTCATTTATAATTATAACAAAGTTTTCAAGGAAATGCATATATCGTATCTTACAGAAGTTGAAAAGAACATAAGAAACGATAAATGACAGAAATTGAACACCTCATCTGCCATTCGTTACAGAAGTTGTAGCATTTTCAAGTGTTGTTCATGTTCTGGATCCAATTTTGGAGGGGTATAACAACCGTGAAGATCCTCCACCACGTACTCCTACAGGAAAGTGGCACAGGTATTATATCCAATCCACAAACATAAATCACTAACAGCCAACAGCGTTTAGAAACTCACTTTAGTCAGCTCCCTTTTGGTGAGAATGTGGTAATGCCTCTGCCAGATCCTTTGAATAGCCATAGTGGCAGCAAGGAAACCGTAAGCTATCCCAAGGATGACAAAGATAACAACAAAAACGATAACAAGTGCGAAGCACGCCTCCATAGATGCAGGGAAACAATCCAAGATACCCCAACCATAGCAACAGTTGTGACACCCAGCAACTCGAGGATCGTTACTATTTAGGGAGGAACAATGCAGGATGAGCCCGAAAAATCCAAGCAGAACAAAGAAGGCCAGAACCCCTGGTTATGAGAAAAACAAGCATATAGAAAGAGATAAATAATAACCAAAACCAGGAAATACAAGTCATTGATAACGCATTATTAATCTGATAGCCCTTCCGACTATGGAATTTAGAATAACAATAATGTTCAGAAAGAAACTGTAAGACAATGAAATTTATACATATAAGACATCAGTTTAAAATTTGAAATGGAAGCTGACTTTGATGAGGAGTCAATTTAAATGAGAGATTTTGAATAATTTTCAGGAGAAAGAGTGTTATTGACAACATGTCAACGATCTACAGTAAAATGAATATTAGTGAAATGAGAGATTTTGCATCCCTGCCAATTTATCTGAAGCATGAATGAACAGTGCAGAGTTAAAGTTCGTGTCAGAACCAGTTTCTATAGAAAAAGCTCATTAGTTTAAATAAAAAAAGTTTACCGATACAATAATAAAATGGAATAGGATGTTTCGACAGAATGCGATCCCATCCATCACTGAAAGAATTTCTGAATGTCCCGTCTTTGTCCATAATGTATGCATAACCACTCATTGCAGCTATTAACTGTAAAAAGGATAAATCCTCAATTATCAAAGAGAAGACAAGATTGTCCAAGAACTTTATGTTCTAACATTTATTCTAAATAAATTAATACAAATCCTCAGGGTGGGAGTGCCTGGAGAAAAAATACATAATTTTGAAAATAACAAAATCAAGTTCTTCTATGCTTGAAATCTAAAAGTTGAATAACTAAATAGCAATTTGATAAAAATTATAGATGTGTCACTTGGAGTTTGGCAAAAAGAATAGTAATTATATTTCTTGATAAAAAAACACAAGCCTTGGGACATTTATGACGAAAAAAAAGGTTAGATGAATTTCTTAGAAGCATCTTCCATAATAATGATCTGAAATCTGAAGTTTAAGTCAACTCACAGTTTGTACAGCTAGAAATACAAGGAGAACATCTCTTGCCACAAAAAGCCTGAATTTAACTTTACGCCAAGAGTTGTCCTCAAACAAGGAAACTTTCAGGTGAAATTGGGCTTTGCATGTTGTGCAATGTGAGAAAGCAAACCCTTCCTGCAGAAATACGGGAACTCTTTCAGATTGATTAAAATGAAAGAAAATAGAATAGAAAACAATCAAATCCTCCATAATCGTAAGCAGGAACAGCGTAGAAGAACTAAAATAAAGAAATTTGCCTTAACGGAGCGCCAATGATCAAGACAAGATCGATGGACAAACTGCTGTGTGCCTTTGCACATGCATGGAGAAATCAGTTCATCTTCTGTAAAATGGAAAATTGCATTTGAGCCAAGTGGAAGAAGGTATTACCCGAGCTATGAAAACATAACTTATAGATTATACACATTAAATACCAAAAGTCACTTTGCAGCAGAAAAACAAGGTTGGGCAAAGATAAAAATTGAAATGCTATCTTCAATTCTTGTTACAAAGAGGGAGTTAAGCCACAGTCCAGTGGACCAATAAACAATGGTATTGGCCCCAAAATAGAATGAACTAAAATTCCACAGAGTTATTCCAACGTCTAAATTGCTCCTACTCAGAAATTTAACCGAGCAAAAACTTACGAGAAAGAAAAATAAATGTCTAACAACGCAGCAAACGACGAAATTCACCTGGTTCTGCATCGCTCTCTAGGCAAATACGACAACACGGAATGGAACCAGCTTCAGTATCCTCATTCTTGATTTCATCGGAGGTTCCATGGGATGATGAATCGGCCTGATTCTCGAGCAGAGGATCAGAGTCACTAGGGTTTTGGCCAATTGACGAATCCAATTGTACTTCCCCTTTCATTGATTATCTCCTTATCCGAAAGACCGAAGCTTTCACTGCCCTAGAAGAAACCCAATCACAAATTCACAGAGATCGAAAACCCATACGGCGAATAAGAAGTAAATATCTCGAAGTCAATCATACCACAAACAATTGCTTGGGGGTTTCAGAGCACCCAAATTAACACGGAAAAATTGGCCCAAGTGATTCGAAGGAACAAGGCACAATTAAATGCAACTAAGATGATGGAAAGTACCTGAAATCGAGGAAAGATTCAGATTAGACTCTCTGCAGATGTGTATGATATTAATATGAACTGTAATAATCCTGAAGGAGGGCCTAAGCAGATGCGATGTTTCCTTTAACGATTCCCGGCGCCGCTGATTGTGATTCATGATAGCAGATAATGTTCATTCATCGTCTCAGGGCCTCGCCTCATCCGTAAATTCGCTGGGCTCCTCTGCTTTGGGCTCAACCAAAATTTTCAATAAACAGAGTTAGCCACTAATTCTACACCATTGTTTTTTAGTACAAATTTTACACCATGGGATGTCGAGTGAAAATTTATAAAAGTATTTTCCTGAAGATGGTGAAACATTAAACATTCGATCAGAAAGAAAAATGTAAAAAACAGAGACTTTTTTGTTTAATCTCAAAATTAATGAGTTGTCAAATTTTCAACGGTGGTGAAGCTAAGATTTCGTCATTGGAGCTAAGTATCAATTTTTCAATGGTAGTGAAGACAATATTTCGTCCTCACACCATTAAGGAGTAAGTATTTTTCCTTTTTAAATATACCTCTACTGTCTAAGACCCGCTCACATTTTTTTTAGTACAGCATGTAGGAGTGAGGGATCGAGCTCACAATTTTTTGATTGAAGATATATGTCAATTATTGCTGAGCTATGCTCGTTTTGGCACCAATCACGTTATAGTGACCTCGTCCAATAATTTTTTCTTTCATTTTTACATTTGTTACTTTTACGTCTTTGAGTCTTGGGAGGTTTCTCTTCTATATCATTATTATATGATAAAAACATTAGCTCTTTAAAATTATTGTCAAAATATGAATTGCTAATATTTTGCCAGTCAATTAATTTACTTGTTCACTTTCTTTTTTTTTTTTTTGATAAAAAGAAAAAAGAACTTACATTTTAAACATGAAATAGTGAATTTACAACTCAGTCAAAATTATACCCATCTAAGGTGAATTGCACACCCACTGTCCCTCTCCAATTAACTTACTTCCTGATTGATTTAGGTCAAATATTGATGTCAAAATATTTTTACCCTAAATATATGTTTTAGTATGAAATGTTGGAGTAACCTTTTTTTTTCAACTTAGTTCATATTATTTAAAAATTTCAATTTGACCTATGTTTTAAGTTCAGATAGTTTTCATCGATGAATATTAAAATTGACGGGTGATAAGTTTATACAGCAAAGGGCAAGTAATGGCACTTTAGAAAAGGCGAGGTATACCTTGAAACACAAAGCTGACACTTTGGAACTACCTAAATTTAAAGAGGAATTAAGTTATCTAAAGAAGGAAAAGTTAATTTTTTTAATTTCTGAAATATTTAGGGGAAGAATTAAAAACCTTCATCAAACTTTTAACTTTTTCTTTAAATTTATAATATTTCACCAAATACCATACCAGCATGGTGAAAAAGATACAATTGAAAAAAAGTTAAAACATAAAGGACTAAATTGAAACTCTTTGAACAACAAAGACTAACCGTTCTCGTTTTTCAGTATCCGACTCAGATAGACAACATAGACAACATGAATTAATGGAAATCTCTCTCTCCACGCCAAATGACAGAAAATACCAGAATGAAATCAAGTAAATGAAGAACAAACTTCCAAATTATAAGCCAATTGATAATTCCTCACCACCTACAGCCAACTTGTCATCACATTCAGAGATGGCAAAAGAAATGTTGCAGGGGAAGATTTTTTTAAGTTACAAGATCCATAGACGGATAAAGAGTCGACGACTAAGAAAACATCATTTAAGGCAGATAACCAAGTTCATCAACATTCTCCAAGCAGCCCAGGTGAGGTGAAGAATTCAGAAAAATAAAAGGGTAAGCAATATTTGAAACTTGCCACGCATGTGCCGACTTGTGCGGCGATTCTACTTCCACAGCTTTCGCAACGACATGTTCTTCTCGGATTCCTTCTTCATTACCTTGGCAACCGCCATCTCGAAATCTTCCTGAGTCACATGAACCCTTCTTTCCCTCAAGGCAAACATCCCTGCTTCTGTGCACACGGCCTGCAGAATGAAAACACAAAATAGTCATCATAAAAATTCAAAAGATATGTACAGAAGATCAACACTGACACACCATATTATATCATCACATACAACAGATATACCTTGAGCTCTGCACCAGATGCACCATTCATCTTCTCTGCGATTTTCTTCAAATCAATCCCGCGCATCAAATTCATTTTCCGCGAATGAATTTTCAAGATATCAAACCGGGACTGCATTCATATTTAACTGAATGTCACTATATATCAATATAGTATGAGTTACCCCATTTCTAACTGATAATCAATGGCAAGCCTCAAGGCATCTGAAAGTAATCTCAAATTATTACAGTACGAATAAACCGAAAAGACAAAATGGCCATTCTTACTATCACAAACAAATTTGTAATTCCTTCAAGGACAAGAGTGCTTCAGAAAAAGTCACAAAGTTGAATAAAGAAAAGTTCATTGTACTCCTATAAGACACTTTAGATAACAAGTATATATTCTGAAAGAAATGGTACTTACATCCTCGTTAGGATTTGGGAATTCAATCTTCCTGTCAATTCGTCCTGGCCTTAGGAGGGCTTGATCCAGAATATCAATCCTATTTGTGGCCATCAAGACCTGTAAAAAGTACAGGCAGTAAGAACCAACCTTAAGATAATCTTACTCCCGAATGGTCTTGATCAATACTAAGATATCTAAAAGTCATTAAGTTTCCACGAACTGCATGGACTTCAGTACAAACAGGACAAAATATTTCAATGTTTTAGAAGGCTTTCAAGTCAGTGATAAACCTCACCCCTTCAAGTGAATAAGCCTCAAGGCTACCTCCTTTGACATTTAAAATCATTTTCAACAAAAACTAGAGTATGGTTTATTCAATGTTGGTCATAAGATATTCTAAATGGCATATTTAACATCCTTCACATATGGAGTTATGTATTGTACCTTGATCTTATTTGATGCTTCAAATCCATCAAGCTGGTTAAGAAGTTCCAACATAGTCCGCTGCACCTCACTGTCACCATTACCACTCCCAGATTCCATTCGAGCAGACCCAATGCTATCAATTTCATCCATGAAAATGATTGAAGGAGCATGCTCCCTGCAAGGAAAGCCAAGAAATGATTGCGGTGAGAACAATAAAAATACTAAAGATATAATCTTGTCCTTGTTTGGTTTCTGCCACCATATTTTCTGGGCTGTTTGGTAGAACTTGGAAGGTTTTCATGGGTGGAAACCAAAATCCTAGACAATTACTACCCATTTCCCAATAAAACTTTTGCACCTGAAGGCGTGTTTCTGATTTAGATTCTAGTAAGTAACAAGCAGCGAGAAAAAAAGTCCCCATACATACATAGAAGAGATAGAAGCAAGGAGGTTAGGGTCTCGGTCAACAACACTCACAGGAAGAATCAATAACGAAAACACTGAAGAAAATATCAAAACAAACCTGGCCATAACAAAAAGCTCTCTGACCATTCTAGAGCCTTCTCCAATATATTTCTGGACCAATTCAGACCCAGAAACCCTGATGAAAGTACAATCGGTATGGTGAGCCACTGCCCTAGCCAACAGTGTCTTCCCTGTACCAGGTGGTCCATAAAGCAAGACCCCCTATTTGAAGTGCATGGTGAGAGATAAATATTTGATAGGAGCAACATATGCCAAAAGAAACTAGTTAAGCAATAAACATCGTTGCATGTTATAATACCTTTGGTTGGGCTATTCCAAGGCTCTCAAATAGTTCAGGATGCTTAATGGGGAGTTCAATAACCTGCAGATTGATATTATATTTCAGAACTTACAGATTATTGACCGAAGAATGGTGAACATAAATAAGAAAACTATTTACAACATACAAACCTCTTTTATTTCTTTTATTTGTTGGTCAAGACCACCAATCATATCATAAGTAGAATCAGGAACCTTTTCAACTTTCATAAGATTAACAAGGGGATCTACTTTGCTTGGCAAGATTAAATGAAGAACATAGCTGTCATTACGGAGAGCAACTCTAGTTGAAGGTGTGATTTTTGTGATATCGATACTTTTGTCAATATCAACAACATATTTCCCTTCTGGATGAACCTGCGCTGGTGAATAAAGATAAGTTGAGGGGAAAAAATCCCAATATGCTAGTTGAAATTGAATGTTTTGGAATCGACCTTCTAAGATTGTATTGCCATAGATATAAGTTTTGAATTGTTCAACATAATAGGATGCCAATGCTAATTCTTTGAAGCATCAAATAGCCAGGTTCTGTTTCCCAGCAAGTACCAGTAGTCAAGTCTCAGCACTTCAATGATGGATTGATGATATGCACTTTAATGATGGATTCGATGATATGCATTTTAAGCTCATCTTCACCATTTAATTCCAGAATATTGAACTTTACACAGAATGAGTTTTCAAACAGGAGTTCTTATGTATTAAAAACATGTATCTGAGTGCAGGAGGGAGTGATGGAGGTAAAGAGACCAGTAATGCATCTGAACAAAGAAACAAGAAAAGGCCTCTTCCAACAATAAAGAGCCACTCACCTTGACTAAAACCTTGTTCTTTCCCATGACCTTAACAACTTCACCAACATAGGATCCTGGCTCTTGAAGCAGCTGAAGCTCTTCCCGGAGCATGCGCACTGTAAATAATAATACTAGTTATAAATGCAGTAGCCTAAAATAAATTCTAAATTCAAACAGACAAATGTTGGGTTGGGACTCCCAGGCAATAGAAGTATATTTTAAACTAAGCAGATTAAAAATGAATGGGGAAAAACACTAGTATTAATACCTTGTTTTATTATATGAGTTCAAAACCACTGTTTCTATGTTATCTTCTTAATAATCCACTTGTTCTGGTTAATCTTATTTTTGAAGTAACAGGGTAAATTCCATGGCGAAACCATAAGTAAACTTCTTAAAAATAACAGAGTTGAGAATCCAGTATCAGAAATTTAATTTTTAAGATTCCCATTAAAAAGTTATGCAATATTCTTGCAAGATCTAAAGCAGAATATAAGTAGAGATATACAGTCAGGCAGTTACTTGAAGAGGATAATAAATAAAAGTTGAATAATAAATTAGTAGTAGGATGTTTTAGATATGAAAAAGTAAGAAGGGTTTTCATCACTCATCAATTACCAGTCTTAATTGCTCTCTGGAAATGAAGTTGGTTGGGATCCTAGAAAATTTTAATTCCAAGAAAACCAGATCAAGACATATGGCTTCTTCACCCAACATATTTCAGCTTCTAAGGCACCACCAAGCGGTAAATGAAAAAGAGTGACAAAAACTCAATTTCAAGATCACTTCGTTCGTTTAAGGAGGGATGTGGGAAGGGCAACTAAAAATAATAATAATAAAAGAGAACTAGTTAATTGTTCATGTATCTTCTTTCGAAGTATTCAAGTTTTTTTTTTTTTTTTAAGGAAAAAAAATCACTTTTCTCAGTAAAATTGCTTGGGGTTCAACTCTTTCAGCTGCATAGTTATATAATCATTCTTCAGAGAAGTAAACCAAAGGTATGACATTTGTGGACTGACTCCTACTCTTGGAACCCCATAATGAGGTAATTGAGAAAAACAAAAACAAGTAATTCAAATTGGCTGCAAATAACTAAGAGCCCTAAAATCCGAACCACGTTCATGTCGACGACAACCTTAATTACCCAAAAACCCACAAAGCTTGGACGCAAACTAAAAACTTAAAATTCAAAATCGATTGTTACCTTTCGAATTCAGCTCATTCCGCTGAGCTTCAAGACGATTCAAATTATGGGTCTTTTGACGGACCTGGAGCTGGAGCTCGTGAATATGCTGCAGATAGTACTGCCTCAGACCCTCACCTTGTTTCGTGGCCTGCTTCGCCGAGCAAGTATCCACCGACGCTAACGTCGCTTGCTGGTTCTCGACCTCCATTGTCGCCATTGGAAACCCCTTTAGAAATTGAAGTTCTCTTTCTTGATGATCGAGATTTGAACAAAGATCAGTAACTCAGAAGAATGCGATTTCGTTCTCGTATCAATGTCCTGAAATGGAGGTCGATTTCCCGGTTTCTTGCGCTTTCGGCAAAGAAAAGAACGACGACACGGGCCTCGGCGTCTTAATGGGCCGGATCCTTTACGTTAAAGCCCATCTCATTGCAGGCCCACCCAAAACTACCGGCCCAGAAGGAGAAAAGTAAACCCCAAACAAAACAAAACAAAAAATAAAAAAACGAAGTCTTTTTTCAGTTTTCAAGGTTATATAAGATCGGGTGTGAAGCCAGTTATGGTTGCGCCTAGCCCTTCTCTAGGAAGCTCTGTTTTTGTTTTTCAATTTTAGATTTTCCTTTTATAACTTTTTTTCTTTGATTTTTCGTCTTCTTCGGTGTAATTTGATTTGGGTTTAGATTTTGATTTTATCAGAGCCATTTCAGAGGGTTAGGAGGTGTGGGTGTTAGCTCAGTTGTTAGCGTTCTCACCTGTGTTATATACCGCCATTTCTCTCTCCAATTCTCGTTCGATCACAATTCAAACAGCTTACCTTGATTTTACTGATCGCCGTCTTCCTGCTTACAGTTGGTTGTGGATTTGTGAGGATTTGCGGCTTTAGGGTTTTGATTTCGTTATTTGTTTTTTAGAATACAGGTTTAAACGAATAAATAAAGAGGAAATCTATAGTTTAGGTTAGGTTTTATAGGACTGTAGAGTAGTTGAATTTTGTGAGATATGGATAAGAAGAGAGTGGCTGTTCCCCTTGTGTGCCATGGCCATTCTCGACCGGTTGTGGATCTGTTTTATAGCCCTGTTACGCCGGATGGATTCTTCCTCATCAGTGCCAGCAAGGGTATGTGTCAGGATAACAATTTTTTTGCTTTTTGATTTTTGATTCATGAATCACGGAAGTTTCTGCGTGCTGTTAATTTCGATCATCATCAGTTTACGGGTGTGAAATGATTTTGGATCGTGCGTGTTCAGTGACAGTATTTTTTACTTTTATCGATATCTATGGTAGATGTGGACTTTGCCTTTTTTTGCCTTTATAGATGAAGATTCGGTGAAATCGATGTGTGTTGTGTTGGTTATTTGCACAATGCATAATCCACACTTTAATATCGTGGGTTGACTCTGAATAAGCTCTTCTTGCGCCATTCAGATTCCAACCCCATGCTCAGAAATGGAGAAACTGGCGACTGGATTGGCACATTTGAAGGTCATAAAGGCGCAGTTTGGAGTTGTTGCCTGGATACCAATGCTTTACGTGCTGCTACTGGTTCTGCTGATTTTTCTGCGTATGTCTTTTTCACTGGTTTCCATGATTCTTTTCAAGAACTGCTGTATTATTGGTTTTTGTGGGTCATAGCATTGTATGCAGTATATGATCAAGATATCTTCTCCCAAAAGTGAGAGGAGGAGCTCTTCATGTGTATAACATGGATGGGGACCAGGGATTTTTCTTAACTTTTCTCGTAATTTATTAACTGATCAACTAAGATTTGGATTTCGTCCTTATTATTCCTTGTTTCCCTTCTTACTTTATTTCCCATGCTTCTGCTTTACGGTTTACTCTGCTATATGTATTCCTTTTTAACATTTTCAATTTCCTATGTGTTTTATTTTGAGAAAAGTAGATGAGTTGTTTGATGCAGAATGAAATTTTAAAAAATGGGAAATTGAAAGGGCCCTAATATAGTTCAAAATAGGTAATCTTTTACTCTTTATTTTCTTGAAGCAGTGGTTTATGTTCAATGATGAATCGTATGTGTGAGTACTCTTCTGCTTTTTATTGAAATTATGATTATGAAAGATCATTCTATGTAAATTTTTTATTTAGCAAAGAATAAAAGTTATTAACATAAAACTAAATTAGTTCATAATTTTATTTGTACATTTCTCTAAAAATACAGTAAGCAAATACAGCCATTACAATAATTGGTAATATATTTAATAGTCTGTATTTTATCGGCTTATCTGTGACCAACTTAAATCCTCACTGATTCACTGTCTGCTAAGGCTTACTGTCTATACTTTATCATATAACTACATCATTTGGCATCACGTTATCTGGACACTTGCTTTTGCTAAGTTCTGGCATGCCCCTTGCTAGTGCGTTTGGAACCATGGCCTTTTTGGCTGAGTTACTCATTGTGGTCTTCTACACTTCCTCTAATATTGCACCACCTCCTTACTGCCTCCCCTCTCCTAAAACATTTGGTAGAGTTATTGAAATTCGTTTTGATGGTTTTAGTATGACTTAAAGATATCATGATGGATGATGGATTATTCATGTGTTTTATTTTTATGCCATAATTTTGTTTGTTAAATATGACTCTGTTCCAAGTAGAAGGTGATACATTTCTTTCAATTGATTTTGTGAACAATGATGGAGGTTGAAATCATTAATAGGATCTTCCATATTTGTTATTGAACTAACAGTAAAGTATGGGATGCATTAACTGGAGATGAACTACACTCATTCGAGCACAAGCATATTGTTCGTGCCTGTGCTTTCTCGGAGGTACTTTAAGCATGTTCTTAATAGTGTCTTTTATTATTTATTATTTTATTTAATTTTTTTTATATCACAGATTGACATTTTCAATACACACACTATGCTTGTGTCATATGATCATTTCCTAATAATTAACATTGGAATTAACTATCAAAACATTGGTGAATCTTTTGACATTAAGAATTATTCTAGAAATACCATGTAATTAATCTTATGGTGACCACCTACCTAGCCTAATACACTGTTTCTTACCCCCTCCCTGAAAAAAATAAATATAAAAAAACAACTTATAGGATGAGATGAGACGATTGTTCCATAAGATTAGTTGATCAGTTGGGTTGCGCATAAGTTGAACACCTAGAGATGTGTATAAGAAAATAATAATAAATTCACTTCTTGTGGATCCATGATTTTGATTCCTTATTGATAAGACCTTTATAATGTTGGGACTCATTGGTTGTTTCTTTGACTTGCTTCTCATGCGGAAATGATTGTGGCACTATCTGAGCTTTAACTGTTACTTACCATATCATAATTATCATCTTGTGATGATGTGAAGTGATTATGGCACTTTGAGCCTCATCTTTTTTCATTCTGATATGCTTCAATTTAAAATGAATTTCTCTCTCTTTTCTCTTAATGCGTTTTGTAAAATGTTTCAGGATACAAACCTTTTATTGACTGGTGGTCTGGAGAAGGTACTACGGATATATGATATGAATCGTCCAGATGCACCTCCAAGAGAAGTGGATAAATCCCCTGGTTCCGTAAGAACTGTTACATGGCTTCACAGTGATCAGACAATTTTAAGTTCTTGCACAGACATGGGAGGTGTCAGGTATATGTTGCTGGGTGTTAATCTGCCTTCTCAAACTGCATGGAAATGTATTCTATATTATCATTATTTGGATATTTTGGTAGCTCCTAAATTTGGTCATTTCCATACAGGTTATGGGACGTAAGAAGTGGCCAAATAGTTCAAACACTTGAAACCAAATCATCGGTGACTAGTGCAGAAGTAAGTCAGGATGGACGGTATATCACAACTGCTGATGGATCTACTGTTAAATTTTGGGATGCAAATCAGTAAGTGTAATGCTTAACGAGTGTTACTGTTAAATTCTATATTCTCCTTGTGATGTTTTTCTATGTTTTTTTTACAGCTTTGGCTTAGTCAAGAGCTACAACATGCCTTGCACTGTAGAATCTGCTTCACTGGAACCTAAGTATGGGATGAAGTTCATTGCGGGTGGAGAGGATATGTGGATCCATGTATTTGATTTTCATACCGGTGATGAGATAGGTAAACTATAATATAATTCTTTTTCCTTTTCGTTTGCCAAAAAGATTTGATTGTTTCCTGTGAGGTTCTGTTTTCTTTTGCTGAAGAATGCCTCGCTTTAACTGTGGATGCAGCATGTAATAAGGGTCATCACGGACCTGTTCATTGCTTGCGCTTCGCACCCGGAGGGGAATCCTATGCCTCAGGATCCGAGGACGGAACCATTAGGATATGGCAGACAGGTCCTCTAACACAGGACGACTCGGATGAAGCCCTGGTCAATGGATCTATTGGAAAAGTAAAGGTAAGTGCAGATGAGGTTTCACGCAAGATCGAGGGATTCAACATTGCAGACGAGGGGAGGGCGAGAGAGAAGGAAGAGACGGGAAATGAGTGACGCCATATCTCCATTTGTCGAGATGGGAAGCAGCCGAGCTTTTGAGCTTGATCCATCCTACACAGTTGGTGTTTTGTGAGATATGGACTTCGCTGATTTTTGTATACAGTTTTAGTCAATTCTGCAGTATATGGTGGGGAGTGGACTGCTTGTCTCAAGTGAACGTGTTTTGTTTTTTTTTTTTTTTTGTTCTGTCATTGTCGTATGCACATTAAATGTTTCTATTTTTAGATTTTTAACCATTGTCATTGTAGCAAGAGGACCTTATTGAAGAGCAATTACGTGAAGAAAGCTGGTCATGGTTCTCAGTCGGCCAAAGTTGGCAATCCAACTTTGGGAATTGGGAGCAGTTCAGTTCTATTCCACCTTCTTGTAGTTAAGCTAAGTCCAATAAGATTGAAATTTTCCAAGATTTATATTTTACTATTTCTATTTCATTTTAGAAGATTCATAGACTAGAAACTTGTGTTCAATCAAAATGGGTTTTAGTAATTGGGCCTTATCTTATAGTCCATTGGGCCTATGACTCATTGGATATTCGTTTGTTTGCCAATGGTTCTACGGCCGACGTGAAAAATGCAATTGTGATACCTGTGCTTCATTTCATATAGCATTTTGATGAGGTGAGATCAAAAAATCAAAATCGTTTGTAGCAAATTTTGATTTCGACATCAATCTCAAATTAGATTTCTATGATATCGAGTCTACCTTTTAACATTTCGATTTTCTAGTAATAGATCGTGATAGAAAACAAAAGGATGCATTCATATTAGAGTTGCTCATGACAGCATACTAAAAAAAAGAATATACCGAGTCCATATTCGACTATAAAACAAATAGTGATGATGTTTTTTTATGTCTTTGGCCTAGCTACGCAGGAAGCTTGCACTTTGTGGAAACTAATGTTTTCTAAAGGGTTTCAATGTTTTGATCGTTCTAACAAAATTAAAGGGTTTCAATATTTTGATCGTTCTAACAAAATTTATAACTCTATGTGGAAACTAATGTTTTCTAAAGGATTTCAATGTTTTGATCGTTGTAACAAAATTTATAACTCCAAGAATGTCCACGGATCCTCCACCAAGGCACTATGCACATGAGAATTTGAATTCTTTATTTTCAAATATTTTTAAAGAAATGATGCGGGTATATAGGGATGTTCCGTCCCTTTACCCACCCCATTTAATTTTCCATCCCTTCAAAATTTTCCACTTTCTTAGATATCCGAGAGAAGATTAGAATTCTTTGGCATTAATTTTTTTTTAAGTTATTTCTCAATTAAATATTTTTTCTAAAGAAATTCCTCAGTAATTGCTCAACTTCTAATGATCATTTAGATTGTCTATTCCTCCTCTGTATATATTGGGTGGGTGGGTAGAAAAATATAAATTTTTTTACTATATTTATATATTGAGAGAACAATAAGATTGTTTTAGTGTATATATATTAAAAAAATGTGAGGCATGGCAGGGGAATGAGGATGGGAAAGACCTCTCATCTCCTCGAGAAAATGAACATCCCTAATAGTAGAACAAGATTCGCACATCCAGTTGTCTGAGGAGCAGAAATATGAGTTGGGAGCAACCCATACCAAGATCATACTTTTGCCTTTAAAGACCTCTTTTATTATATTGGTTATTGTCAATACAAAACTTTTTTAATGCCATCAATTTTGAAAAAGGTGTCTACCAACCAAGTCCAAATCAAAGAGAAGAGAACACCGTATTTTGGTAATTTTCTAGGAGTTCCAAGCTCAATTATGTGCATAAGGGGAATAAGAGTCAGCGGTGAGTGAAGCTCCAGTAATGGACGTTAGTGAATCATAGTCAAATCTCTCTTTCCATAATCGAAGTCGTAACTTATACAAAAATTCTTCGAGAAGTTGAAAATAAGTGTAGATCCCAAGATTCTTGAATATGTTAACCTTTTAAGCAGCTGGGCAATGCATGGGTAGAAATTTACTTCATTTAAAATTTAACTAATAAAATTTTTGTCAAAATAAATACACTGAATAAGATAGTTAAAGTCTAGGAATGTAATTAAAACTTTAGTTTCTGGTTCAACCCATTATTATCCAATTGGTTGTCTAATGATTGTGAATTAAATGCTATTTATACTTAATAACATACTTCATAATAGAATAGTTATGTCGCCTTCAGAGGAAGAAACTGTGTCATCTTAAAAATGGGTATATTCAGCATTTGATTGGCAATGGCATTCGGTGTTCTACGCTGTTTCTCGGGTTCCGTGAGACAATTTGATTTTTTGATTTGTCAAATTTTAAATAAAATAAGTAATTGCCAAAAAAGCCTGACAACATATTTATGATTATGACAGCCACAGAATCCTTCCTGTTTCTGTTTGGTGCTGCTTCCTTTTATTATTAACATTTTTGGCTGCATGTATCACATGTTTACAAATAAATATTTTCCATTAAATTAAATATACCAAAAAGTAAAAAATGGATAATTTCATCCTAAATCAGAAACCAAGTAACCACAGAAATTAATTCAAGCAGTAGTAACCAAAAGGAAAGAAAGACGCATCTTTTGATGTTTTCACTTGCTCCTTAAGATTTCTTGTGGGAGAGGAATTTGTCTTTTGATAGTGATCTTTATTTTGGTCCTATTTTGCCTACTACAGACTAATAAAAGGCCAAAATGTAGTTGTATCTCCGAGCCCGACGCTCGATTCTCGACTTTCAGAAGCCGTCTCGTAAAGATCTTAGCATCGTTATTGAGTTTTTGATGATCTCAAATGCAGCAGAGATTGTGAAACATGGGAAGCATAGAGTTTTAAGCAGTAGAAATGAATGATCCATCCAAATTGTCTGCTAAATTGAATAGTTCCACAATCCCCAATAACCAATACAAATCAAGACATGAAGGCTTTCACAAAGCATCCATGTAAAAAGATGCAAAATGTTGTGCTCCCAACTAAGCCAAGCTGTCTCTATAATCTGGCTTAGAAGAAAAGAAAATGTCAATTCTTAAACACCAGCACAGGAAAATCAATGGAAGATGTTGGCAGTTGACACTCCAAATTTTGAGTTTTGAGAGGAGACTGATAAGAATGGAAAACTAATGAGTTAATATTAAGTTTTCAAATCACTGAAATTTTAGGAACATCAACTGGAAACTGGTTGATCTCATTCATCCATGGGCTCTTTTCTTTGGCTGGATTTATGGTCCTTAGAGCTTTCCAAACTGCACTATTGCACTTGAACCCTGAACCAAATGCTATTTGCCATGTCCTATCTCCTCTCTTCATTCTGCCTTTCCCTTCTGTATAAGCCAATTCATACCAAAGAGAACTGCTCGACGTATTCCCGAATCGGTAGAGTGTCATCCTCGACGGCTCCATATGCCAATCGGACAGCTGCAAGTTCTTCTCCAGTTCGTCCAAAACCGCTCTTCCCCCAGCGTGAATGCAGAAATGTTCAAAGGCCAGTTTGAAGTCGGGGATGTAAGGCTTGATCTTCATTTTGAAGAGTTTCTTCCCAACTAATGTACCGAAGAAGAGAAGCTGCTCCGACATTGGCAGAACGAGAGGCCCCAACGTCGTGATGTTGGTCTTCAACGCATCACCCGCAACTGCCATCAGATCTTTTGATAAAGTAACGCCAATCTTACCTGTTGAGTCCTCTTCCTGAGTAACACAGCTAAAGCACTTATCATCTGCTCCCTTGTGGGTACGAACTGTATGTACTAATTGGTACTTGGATCTCCTCCTCTCGGATCTTCTGTTCGAGAGCAATATTGCTGCTCCACCCATCCGAAATAAACAATTAGAGACGAGCTTCGATCGGTCATTCCCGAAGTACCAGTTCAATGTTATGTTCTCCATGCTAATCACCAGTGCATAAGAATTGGGATGGACCTGAAGCAGCTGTTTTGCAAGGTCGATAGAAATTAGGCCTGCACTGCACCCCATCCCGCCCAGATTGTAACTAACGATGTTCCCTCTAAGCTTGTAGTGGTTGATGACCATGGCCGAAAGCGATGGTGTTGGATTGAACAAGCTACAGTTCACAATCAAGATACCAATATCCTTTGGTTTCACACTTGTCTTAGCTAGAAGCTCGTCAATGGCACCAAACATCACAGTTTCAGCTTCTTTTCTAGCTTCTCCCATGGAGGGGTTTGGAGGAATATTGAGAACAGCCTCAGGAAGATAGGTTGAGTCCCCAAGTCCAGATCTCTCAAGGATTTTCTTTTGGAACTGAAGATTGTCCTCTGTAAATGACCCCGTCATCCTAGATTGATCCATGAAAATCTTTTTCGTGCATTTACGAGATTCATCAGGCTTGTAGCAGGAAAAATCAACAAGGTACACAGGGCGAGGCCGGGTAAGAAAGTAGAGGGTGGACAAGAAAACAAGGAGGGTCGAACAAAGGATGGCTGAAACTAAATTGTACTGAAGATGCTCCCAAACTTCATGGAGATCTTGAAGGGAGAATGTCGAAAGCTGCGCCGCAATCACGACGACGAGAGGCGAAAGGAAGAGGTACATTCCATGGGTGATGAGGTAGTGATAACCAAGTTTAACATATTTCAATTTGACAGACTTTTTAAAATCAGGGAGGCTTCGGGAGGAGGATGGTGTAGTGCTGAGCAAGGGCGTGGATGGCTTTGGCTCCGTCATTTCCCCCTGATAAAATTTTTCAACAACTTCATGAAACTATGAACAAAATGTGCAGCAACCAACTCTAGAACAAACTAAACTGCAGAAGCATACAAGGATCTAAACTATGAACAAGTAAATCCTACAGCTGATGCAAGGGAAACGAAATCTATCTACAAATAGTCCATGTTTTCAAAGAACAGAAACAAAATCTCTCTCTAGCGCCAAACAGAACTTCTCCTTTTGTAAAAAGTGCATCAGAAGCCAACTCAAAACCCACAGAGATGTTCACATACATTACTACTAGACGCATTAATCTCGTTTTTTGTATGAAATTTCACAACATAAAAGAAAACCCAGAAAGAGCAAACAATTTGGCATGGAAAAACAGCAATGAGGCGGTAAATCCAGAAAGAAATCAGATCAAGGGTCGTATCTTTGACCCAGTTTTGAGGAACAGAAAGCAGATTCATGGAAAAAGAAGAGAAACCCAGAAAAGAAAACAGACCTGAGAACTCAAATTCCTCGGCGGGGCGCAGGAATCTGGGCTGGGAGGCCAAAGAGGGAGAGAAATTTGGAGGAAATGAGCGATATATACAAGGGGCGGAGGGTAACGTGGAGAAATAAAAGGAGAGAAGGGAATGGGAAGTTATTAGAATTAAAATAAGGGGGAAACTGAAATTAGGGGAGGGGGCTGATTCCGAACGTGACGAGACAGAGGAAGAAAAATAAAAGAAAAATGGAAGAGAGGCTAAAGGAGAGGGACGGACGCCATAGCCATAGCCATCGCCCAAGTGTACGCGCTTTGAACTTTCAAGGGATTAAATCAAAGTGAAGACGGCGCTGCCGCCCGCTGCCTTGTTTTGAATTCACAGCTCGCTAATCACTGATCAGATCACCTAATCCCAAAATCCCACCCTTGATTTTACTCCTAATTCTCTGCTAATTTTGGATTTACGATATGCTTGTATTCTGTACATGTAAAAACAAGCCAAAAAAAAAAAAGAATAATGCCTCCAATGTCAAACCGAGCATAGCTCAAATGGTTAAGGCACTTATTTTTGACTAAAAGGTTTTGATTTCAAACCTCGACCCCCACAAGAATCCCTCGCAAATAAAAGTTTAAAATTTCTATTTAAGTTGGCACACTTTTTTTAAGTCGAATTTATTTACAAATTAAGGTTATATATATTTTCTTATCCTAGATTATATACTAACCAATTTAGCAACGAGGAAAATAGTTAGGCAGATTTGACCCTTTTCTTTTCTTTTGCTAACAAACTTTTTTCTTCAGTTGATTTGAAATTTAAAGAACAAAATTGCACTTTTGAAGACAACTAGTGGAATATATATATTTCACCATATAGCACTATAATAATAGTTAAGACTATGGTCATTTATTTCTACCTTAACATTAATATTGAAAAGTAAGGTGGATATAGTGAATATTAATCATACAGCTAGGATAATGGAAATTATGAAATAGGGGAAGGAAGGGCTGGCACTGGCAAAGGAGTTGAAGAGGAATATAAGAGCGCCACGTGTCGTGTTGCAATTGGAGTCCTACTATAAGGTTGTAAAAGTGGAATTTTTGAAGGGGCAATAATAAATAATTGGATTGGATTAGGAGAAAAATAATTCAGCTTTGCAAGTTGGCAGAAATTGAATGGCACATGGGGCACCCCTTTTTTCCCTCTGCCAGCTATTTTGAATCTTTTGTTTGTTTTGGCCTCCCTCCCATTTTATTTTTCTTTTTGTCCTTTTGAAAGTCAAACTTGTCAATATGCCATAGTTCAATAGAATATTCAAATTTTAAGTTGTTATTTTTTTCTATATTTATTATTTACCTTATAAGCCAAAAATGATGTAACATATGTTGATGTTTGGATTTTGGTCTTTTCGGTTCTCTCCAAAATGCGTGTCAAACTCGATGATCAAGGGACCTGATTACCTGCAAAACCGAGTAACCTTAAACTGGTGTGACTTCTGTCACATGGACTCCGATGCCAAAGTCAGCTATGGGAGAGCAATTAGGCAAGTTATACAGAGTGTATTTCAACTTACCTTCAATGGGCGATTCCCTCTTTATTTATGGTTGATCTTCCTCTTAGGATTTCACGAACTCCAACCTTAGGTCACCTCCAAATAGTCGGGCTTAATGGGTTGTGATACATGCAGGCCCATTTATCAGGTTTGGGCCCGAACATCGATTGAATGGCACTGGGACTAGTAGAGAATTCAAGAACCTTCTTGACCTAAAGTCGAGAAGGGCTCGGCGTCGAGGTGGGGTCGGCTCTCAAGTAGGGCGACCCCAGTCGTCGGTGGTCTCGGTTCTTCCTTCTTCTTTTACGGTCCAATCTCTGTTGTCATATGAACCGTATTCCTGAAAGAATATAATAGTATAGAGTACCATAATTTATGGAAATACGGCAATAAGCTAGCCTTTTTTATTAAAAAAATTTAGAAAATGAATATTGGAAAATGAGAATATTAATCAAAGTTTTCAAAAGAAACAACAAATACAAAATATTTATCGAGTCATTTCTTTCTAATTTTGATTTGTTATAAGAAAAAATTAATTAATTTTTATTTAAAATACTCATTTATTCCCTATGCTTTCAGTTTTTGTTAATTTTGATCTCTCTACTTTGAAAAGGTTCATTTTTGCCCCTGTATGATTAAAAATGATTCATTTTGATCTTTAATGTTAATCTACCGTTAAAATTAAGAGATCAATAATATGGCGTTGACTAATAATCCAAGTAGCAAATTTAAAGAGAACTTTTCCACGAACATATTGTTGGTCCAAAGAAGTTTTTAACAATAGTTTAACAGCAAAATGAACCAAACCTAACACTAGATGCACAAAAATAGTATTTTAATCTTAATTTTTTTTAGCATAAAGAGTATTATTTTTAACTTTTGAGGCATTCCGGTGCAGTCAAAATCTCATACAATCCTCTACTATTCGAATATCCATCTCCACGAGTTATTAAACTAGAAAAAAATAATAAAAAATAAAAGAAGAAGAAAAGGCCAAGCTGAAGTTTTTTTTTTCCTTTCCCTCTTTTTTATTATTATTATTATTTTTTTTGTTGATTGAACAAAATCTTTTTAAAGATTGATGAGATGAAAAATTATTTTAATACCAAAATGAGAAAATTGTTTATTTAATTATAATTGAAGATTTAAAATGTAAATATAAAAGGAGAAACTTTGCATTATTGGAGACTCGAGAGAATAACCTCATACCTTATAATGTTGTATCCCATCAAGCTATATATTTGGATGAGATATTAAGATTATGTTTCAATATTGTTGGTTGAGTTCTATTCTTGAATACAAAATCTTATTTAGAGTATTATTTTTAAACTATTTAAAATGCATTCAATATGAAAAAAAAAACATAATATTCAAAATTGTCTTAAGAACTAATGCATACCAAGTTGGTTTAATTTTCATTAAAACTGAATCTAAACATAAACTAAATCATGTACCTTCAATTTGCCCTAAATTCAAGGTGTGTTTGAAAGTGAGGGTAGAATGAGTGATTTTGATTAAAAAAAAAAAAGATTTAAATACAATTGATTTTCTAAAATTACCATCCAAATTATACCTTAAAAATAAATTTAGAGTGAACTTTCCTAAAATCAATTATCTAATTTTCCAAACACGATCCATGGAAAGTGAAATGATTTTGACAATTGACAAGTGACAAAAGTGGTTTTGGCCATGTAAAAATCACTCCCAAAATACAGCCCGAAGTAAAAGTTTCAATACACTTATTTAGATTTGATTAAACCATAATAGGTTAAATACTACTTTTGTCCATTTTAGTCACGAAACTTTTAGGTTATGCTCATGTACTTATAAAGAATGAACTATTTTGATTATACAAAATTTAGACACATTCTATGTACCAAACTCTTCCATATAAAGATGGAACAATATTTCAAGAGGTATAGGAAAATACATCCATCAAAATGAAAAAAAAAAACTGAATAATAGTAATTAAACCTGAAAAGTATAAAGTTATATCTCTAATTTAATTAAAAGTGAGAGCATGAAACTTTTATGATAAATATTTTTCCAAAATGTAAATATGAAAAACGAGAAAGCAAAAATGAAAATGATGTATAAAAATCTGTAAGAAATCTGGAACAAAGACAGTTGTTGGTTGAAAATGATCTATAACTATAGAATATTCAAATTTAAGTTGTTATTATTTTCTATATTTACTATTTGCTTTATAAGCCAATAGTAAATACTATTGAAAAACTAGTATAGAGTATCAGAATTTCTGGAAATACGGCTATAAGCTAAAATTTTTTAATTAAAAAAATTTACAATTTTGAAAATGTTCCTTGAAAATGAAAATTGAAATTGGGGAGTATTCATCAAATACTCGTTTTTTTCAAAAATCTAGAAATAAGAAATAAAAAAGGGATCTTTTTCAAAAAAGAAATAGAAAAGGGATAGAGATACATAATAACAATTAGACAACCCCTTAAATAACCACTTTATAATATCTTTACTTCTTTTATCAGGTAGTTTTTTTTATTTGTTTTAAGGAAAAAATTAATTGGTTGTTTTATTCAGCATATAGAGTATTATTTTTAACTCATCCGGTTTGTCGTAGAGCCTTTTACTCTTCTCGAAACTAGTGAAGTTGAACATTAAAAGATTGTGAATTCAAACCTTAATCCGCATGTGTTATTGTACTTAAAAAAATTATCGTACTAAAAAAAAAGTAAAGTTGAAGTTTCTTCTCTCTTTTTTTTGGTTGATTAAAAAACCCTTACTAAACATGGATGAGATGAAAATTTATTTTAATATGGAAATGAGTAACTTGTTTATTTCATTATAATTATATTTAATATTGAAGATTTAAAATAGGAAATTTATTATTTACAAACGGAATAATAGTAATTAAACCTAAAAAGTATTAACTATATCTCTAATTTAAAAGTGAGAGCATGAAACTTTTTTGATATTTTTCCAAGATGTAAATATAAAAAACGAGAAAGCAAAAATGAAAATGATGAACAAAAAATTTTGAAGTGCCGTATCAAAGACAGAGTTTTTTGCAGACCCATAACTACAGGAGGACAAATCATGAAGACAAATAAGGCAACTAATATGAAGCTGCTTTCTGTCTCTGATCAATTACAGAGACAGTTTAATCAAATTAATATACAAAATATCGAAGCTCTGTTTGACTTGTTCTACTAAAATGAGAATTCTTCAAGCCATATTAGCACCTCATTTCTCTGTCAATCAAACCCCAAAAATATGGATATTAGCATTTCGAAAAACACACAAATCAAATCAGACAAAGACTGTCAGAAAAACAAAATTTTGTTACTCTTTAGTAACAAAAACTTACCATTACAAAGCTCCATGTTCGGCTGGGGTCGTTGTACCGAGCAAGCAAACAGCCCTTAATGGGTTTAAGACCGTCTTTTATGAGACTATACCGCAATTCTTTGGCCTTCTCTTGCACCATATTTTCAGAAGGTTTTCCACTGAATTTCAACACTGCGGCAATACCTCCATCAATCGTCCTCAAGCTGATTGCGTCTTGTTTAGGATCTGGGAAACTGAACAAAAATGTGTAATGTTCATTTAAGAGGTATCAGTTAATGTGAAACATAATATACTAAATTCAACAAATCAATAATCGGATTCACAGAACAAGAAGTAGAAGAAGATTACAGTTTACACACATAGGCTTACAGTGGTTCCACCATAATCGGTGTATGTCCACTGTTCAAACAGATGCTCGAGCTTCCATTAACTTGATACTTCAAAGTACAACAGCAAGATATCAAGATTACAAGGTCACACCCTCACAATCTAAGAATTGGCTCTCATCCACCACAAGAACTGAAAATAAATTCTGCTTTATGTTTTTTCGGGGGAACATAAAATTTTACCCGTAATGTCTATCAATTTTTATCCTAAAACTTTCAATTTAATCCAATTGCATAGTAAACTTAGTTGAGTTTTGCAAAAGTGCCTGCAAATTTTGTCCTTTTGAGATGTTTTTCGTTTGAAGAATAGTTAAAGAAAAATATTTGAGTTATAAAATATACATTTGGTATGAAATTTATAAAATTTAGAAAAAGAACATAAAGAGCTGGTATGGAATTTTTTAAGTTATTCAATAGTTGATTTTGTATATGATTCAACTTAATTTTGTTCATACAACCTAAATGTAACTCAATTGGTTAAGACATATATTTTCAATTAATTGTTAAAAAAAAAACTTAATTTTGTTCAAAATTTCATTTTTATTGAAATTAGTGATTTTTTTTATGTATTTAAATTTGGGGCAGTTACAAATATGACAAAAAAGTTAAGTAAATAACAAATTTAGCATCTACATTTTAGGTTTGCAAATATAGCAAAATTTTTAGAAAAAACAGAGGTCCAATAATAAAATGTCAAATTTACCCATGTAGCATTGATATATATATATACATGCTTGATATACATCTGATTTACTACTGGATGTACAATTAATATATCATTGAAATAACTATGATATCTACTAATATGATTATATTATTTACTATTTATTGATTTACCACTAATATATGTGTAATATATTATTGATATACCACTGATAAAATACTGATATACAGTTGATTTACTTCTGATATATCTATGATATCTACCAATATAACTTCTGATATGGTTTACCATTGATATACGTATGATATAACTATGATTTCTACCGATATAAGTTCTTATATGATTATATAATTTACCATTGATTTAACATGCTGATATAACACTTATATATCTGTGATGTATACTTGATATGTTTTAAGTTACCACTTATACAACTATGATATCTACTAATATAACTCTTCATGTGATTATATGATTTACCATTGATATAACTTTGATGCATTCATGATATATACTTAATACGTCTCTAATTTACCATTGATATAACCATGATATCTATTGATATCTAACATTGATGCATCTATGATATAGATCAGATTTACATAAAATATACATCAGAGATACATCGAATATATATCAGATATGATATACATAGGTATACCATTACAAATATATTTAATATATCATAAATTAGAGATAAATTAGACGTATATTAGATGTATAATACTTACATCTGATTTATATCAGAGATAGATCAGATGTACATCAGATGTAGATCGAAAATATATCAGAGATATATCGGGTGTATATCAGATATACATCGAGTGTATATCAGATATCATAAGGGTAAAATTGGAATAATAAAAATTCTGAAAATAAAAATTCAAATATTTTGTCATATTGGCAAAATACAAAGTGGTTGATATTTTTGTAAATACGTATAAAAGTTTAGCTACACAATACAATTTCCCTTTAAATTAGTGGATATATTAGCATAAATTGAAGAGGTAAAATTTTCAACGTTTAGAGTCAAATGCAATAGATTTGAAAGTTTATGGTAAAAATTGATACACCTCCTCTAATTTTGTAAATTTTATATATTTTTAGTTCTTTCAAAATATCCTTTAAGACAGTGAAGTGCTACACCCTAGAGGTCTGAGATGAGCCTGGCAGCTAAAAGCATTTCTAGCTTACACTCTTCACTTGAGTAGGCCCATGAAATTCCTTGTGAATCATAGGGACCACCCTGAAAGGATGTGTGTTAGGTGTGTGGGGGCCAAAGATATGGGTTTGGGTGTGTGTGGGGAGAGGGAGAGAGAGAGAGAGACTCACACAGCAACCCTGTTGAATACAGCGGACCCATAGAGCTTGTCCTCACCTGTTTCTACTGATATAAATGGTGCATATTTCCTCACCTGAAAAAAAAAAGATATTAAACATGGGTCCAACCCTCTTTAATCTACATTTAGTGCTAGAAGATTCATATCATGTTAAATTTTTTTTCTTTTATTATAATAACTCGGAGTCAAGTTTTGCTTTTCTATACCCTAACAAACACATACACTTCATTTTGAATAATGTGTCCGAGACACGAATACGTGTCGGACACTCTGACACTTATCAGACGTGTATCAAACACTCGATAGCTTAATAGATGTGTGTCAACACTAGGTGTAAAAAGTGAATATGGTTTCAACACTTGTTAAGTACGTATCGAACACTTATTCAGCATAAAAAATAGACATAAATGGGAGGATAGGACAAAATAATAAACTTTGAGAGTGAAATACATCAAACTCATATTTTAATAAACGTGTCCTTGTCTTGTCTGCGTCCTAGATTTTTATAAAATAATGTATCACCGTGTCCGTGTCATGTTTTATCCGTATCTCATATCAGTATCTGTGCTTCTTAGCCTATATTCAGAAGCACCCGTGCCCGTCTCAAGGTCCGGACTCGAGAGGCATGAAAGATTTTAGTATTAAGCTCACCGAAAGGTTCAAGTTTGAGACCTCTAAACTAATACGACCAAGAGACCCCAAGTTTTTCTAACTAGGATGCCATGTTAAACTTCATTCAATAAATAAAGATACAGTAAAAACTCAAAGCTAATCATGAACACAGATAAGATCCAAAAGTCTTCTGAAGAGCAGAGATGGCAAAAGATTAGAAACAGAAAATGGAAGTACCAAGCACAAACAGACCTCATAATTTGCAGTCCTTTTCAATATCTGATATTGGGGTGATTCCAATTCTGGAGTCTCATAAAACCGGAACTGAAGAGAGAAATACATCAGAAATATAACAAAATCTTTCCCTTCTGGATGATTTTCTTTTCACCATCAATATAAACAACGAGAATACCTGCTTAAATATATCCCACAGACCTTCTAGAGAAAAATAGTTATTGTTTTGTACCGAATCCCAGAGATCCTACGATTAAAAAGGATGAGATGGGTCAATAATTAACAGAATTTGGCAACTGGTCAATCAGTCACATAGAAGGAAGTAGAATGTTACCACATGGTTACAAAACTTGCCCGTCTCTGGATCGATATCCATTATGGAAGTTCCCGTCAAAACCAATTCTGGTTTCCATGGTAGAAGAACAAACTTCATTACCGCAGTCCATCTTGTAGTTATTTCATACGGTCCAGTCTAAGGCAACTCAATCAGTCAGATTCGGAATATGTTTAAAAAGCCAATCTAAATTGAATGTTAAACAGATATTCGTCATGCAGTTCAGCTTAATCTACTATATTTGACAAAATTAACTTTAGATGATCTGATAGACCATGGATTTGGGAAATCTCACCGAAACCACGAATCGAATTCATCCAAGAGCACATCAAACGAGAACGGGATCATGAATCATCAATGGCTAATAATCAATTTCCATGGATCTAATACACTGGCGGAAACGTGAAATGTAAAGAGAAAACAGAGATCGTAACAGAAATTGATGGATCGAACCTTTTTAACCCAGTGCAAGAGGAACTGGGGCCTGAAGAGTTGTCGCAAGAGGGCAATATTAAGCATATAGCCGCGAATGCCATTGTACTTGGTGATGGGGTCCCGGAACCGGACGTGTTCGTCGTACGCCGTCGGATCAATCCCCTGTGCGTCGAAGACATGGCGGAGATCTTCGTATAAGAAATCAACCAATCGGTCAACGTCGACCGTCGATTTCGGTGGGCTTCGATCTGCCAATCGTGATCGAACAACGCACTTGCGAACTTTAGTCCGGCTTCTGAGTAGACGGGGTTCCGGCCCGGTTTTCCGGCCGGATTTCTTCGGCCGGAAACCGCAACCAACGGTTGGGATTGAGAGGAAGTTTTGGAGGGAAACTTGGCCTCCACCCATTTCTGGAAAGTTTGGAAGATGTCTTCAACGTGGGTATTTTAGATTAGCCCATTCTAATCTGTTACCTTTTTTTTTCTTTTTCCTATAAGTTGACAAAAGATTTATTAAGATATTTTTTTACCCACTTTTCATAAATAATTGAAGGAATTATTTATTTACACTGCAATCGAGAAGATTTTGGATCAAAATGTTTTCTGGGAAATAACGTGATGCCAACCTCATGCTCATCCACTATATTGGTTTCATTGGAAATGAAATGACAAGATTGTCTCTACACGTTTTAAATGGTATCTAACAAATCTCTATAATAAAGAAAAAAAAAAGATTATTATCAGCCATAAACTTTTTGATTATGCGTTTATGATTTAACTCTCTTTCTTAAATGCTTATGTTAAATTGACTAAGTACACCATGAAGGATGTCTGTATGGATTCATTAGACACACGGAATTATTTATTTAATATGACATATACTATGTTAAAGATTTCACATTGAAAAGATAAGGTATCGAATATGGTTTAAATATACATAGAATGCTTACCTGATTGTTGATTAGTTTTAAAATAAAATCCACGAATGCTGACATGGTATCAAAGTCCAACAAGCTTAAACGAACATTCAGTTTAGAAATAGAATTTAGTCAAGATTGGTAAGTGTAAGAAGAGTCACACTCTCTACCAATTAGTTTTGAGAAGAAACTCTATAACTATTGATATACCGTTGTCATTTCTCTAAATTATGATAAGGTATAGTACAATTGATGATAGCGTTGAGAAGCTACCGGAAAAATTTTAATAAGCACGTGTTACCTTTTTTTTCTTTCCCTGTAAGTTGACAGAAGATTTTAAAGATACTTTTGGACCTACTCTTCATAAATAATTGGTTTTCATTTTAGTACAAAGCAAAAGCAAATAAATAAGGAGTTATTTACGCTGAAACCGTTGGGAGAAAGATTTTGTATCCAATTTTTTTCATTTCTGTTTCTATTTATTATTATTATTTTAAGTACAATATATAGAGGTGAAGATTTAAAAATACAATAATGCTCTCCCTGCTTTTCAGTTTAAAATTTAAATAATTTCTTAAACATTTGTATATTTTGTATTAGGGTCAATTTCGTCTAAATAAATATACTGGATACACCTCTAAAATGTGGTCATATTTGCAGTATTTACTGTCTTTCAAAATTAGTATTTTAATTCGGCTATCCACCCAAAAAAGAAAAAAACAATAATAATAAATCAAAATTATTTGTTGTTGAAATAAAAAGGTCTAATATGCATTTGCAAACAATAGCTTGTACGCATCATCTATCTCCTCTGGTTTGTCTTCTCTTCTATATATTTTATTTTTTGAAAAGATTTTCTCTTCAATATTAAATATAATTCAATAGATAATTGTTCGTATTAAAATAACTTTTGAATAAATAATTGTTTTTCTTTTTGAGATAAATAATTGTAGACCCCACGTAATTTAATTGAGGGATTTATTCAAACGTAATGTAACCTACTGTTGGCATGAATTCAAACCTTTGGAACTATAAAATCAAATTGAATGCCTATATCATATGGACTAAATTTGTAATTCAACCTTAAAAATAAATTTTTTATATTTAAAAAATTGAGTTAAATAATATGTGATGAAAATTTGTACATATAATCTTTATAAGCCATATGTATAATATTTTTAATGAGTTGAGATATGTTTGAACGTTTCATTAAAAAAAACCTATACTCAAATATATTAATTACATAAGTGTTGTCGTCGGATCCAGAACTTTTGTTTAGGGGGGCTTGGTAGAATGTAATTTAAATAATTAATCTCCAAATTATCGATTTATTTAGATTCTGTAAAACTTAAATTAAAAATTATATAAAAGAATAATAATAAAATCTTAGAAAACTTGATAATTTACTTTTTTTTTATACAATAATTTATATAAAAAACATTACAATTGAAAAAAAAACTTTGAAAATGCAACTAACAATTCAGTCAAAAAGACGAGATATATATATATATATATATATATATAATTCATAAAGTTTAAAAGAAAAAATGTGGTGGCTGCGACATTTTTGTCGAAAAATAATCTTACTTTTAAAACATCGGGACTGATATTTTTTGTTCACTTTTTTATATAATTTTTAATGAATATAAAATTATATTTATTATTTATATATAGTAATTTGTTGTTTCTATTTTTAACTAACATAAATAAAATTGATATATTATTATTTTTTATATATTTGTAGTAAAAGTAATAAATTTAAATAAAAAACATGCGCTACATTTAAAAAAAATTCAAACTGTGACACCTAACGACTTTGACAATTAATCTCTAAATTATAACTTTCTTTCGACTTAACAAAATTCAAATTAAAAAAATTATATAAAATAAGAACAACCAAATCTTGAAAATGAATATATAGTCAAATCTTGAAAATGACTATATATATTGATATAATAATTTGGGAAAAAAATTATTTGAAACCAGAGTGTATGTATAAATGGTAAAGAAAAGTAGGTAATATTGACCAAAATTTTATTTTCTTTTTCAACTAAAAAAGTCACGTAATGCCTTAAATACTAAAAAAAAATCACGGAAAGATATATTAGGTAAAGAAAATATAAAAGAAAAAGAATAGAAAAGAGAGGGGTCGAGGGCTTGGGCTGCTGCTGACATACTAGTACTTATCATTAAAAAGTTCGGGGGGCTCGAGCCCCCCTAGACCCTTTATAGATCCGCCCCTTGTCGTCATAATATAACCGTTTCAGTTAGTTGTCTTCAATGACAAAGTGTTCCAAGCTCATGAAATCGTTAATCTTGTAACACTAAGACGATTTAGAATAGTTTTCTAAAAGATTAGACACTAGATTAAAGGTAGCTTAGAGGAAATAAGTTCAAAACATGATAGTCACTTATTTAGAATTTAATATCCTACGAGTTACTTGGGTAACCAAATATAGTAAAATCAGATAATTGTCACGTAATACTAGTCGAGATGCGTACAAACTGACCCGAACACTCACGGATATAAAGAAAAAAAATAAAAAAGATTTTAAACTTTATAGAAAAAAAAATTAAGCAGTTTATTAAAAAAATTAATGCGAAAAATTGTCATATTTAATATTGTAGAGAAAACAACAAAAAGAGAGAGGCGTACAAGCAAGATATCTTAGTACTTTTCATTTCAACATAGTTTGGTCTTCTTATCATATAAAAAATGTGTGATTAACTTAATCTTGTTGGTCAGATTTGACTTTTGTAAAACTTCTTAGTAGATTTATGTTTCTAACTTCATTAAAATTATATTTATAAATAACTTAAAACGAATTCAATAATAAAATATATAGTATTTGGTATGGTTATAGTTTAACTTTGACTAAAATTGAATTGGACTACAAACCAAACCGTGTATATCCAATTCAATCTGATATGATCTTTAATTAATTACATGCATTGCTTTGGATTAAATCAAATCAATTGGTAATATTTGTTTTCCAAA